AGGCACTGTAAGGATTTATGAAGTACATAAAATAGAATGTGTGCCTTCAAACAATTTACAATCTGGAATGGAATTGTGATGCACACTAAAATTCATAGGCTGCAGAGGAAAATGATTGGAGTTCTTGGGAAAAAGGGGATCAGAAGAGGGGAGTTGTTGGTTGTGCAAAGACCCTACTCTGTGACTACAGGAGAAATAAGATGCTTTCAGACATCAGAAGGGAGAAGATGGTATGAGTAAGAAGCCCAGGTCAAAGCACAGAATGTATTTATGCATTTTCCAAATCCAATACATTTATTATTGTTATCATTATGAACCAGCATCATTTGATTTGATCTTTTATCTCACTTAAAGTAACTAAATTGCCAGTTGAACGGGAAAACCAAGAATTTACCTCATAGTTTGAAAAATTCATCTCACCTCAAGTTCAATTTACCTCAAATTCTATGTTTTGTTCTTATTGAAATCATTTTTGTAAACACACATACAGTCATACCTACTAATTTGACTTTGAAAAGAACTATACAATTTGTATTCTTTTGGTAGGAACAAATTGTATGGAAATGAAATAGATATTGGAGAAAATTCTTAAAAAAGAGAAACAGAATATGCCTTTTTATATTTTTATTATCAAACACAATGAGAAGGTAAGCAAGATCATTTTTTATCCACAATACATAAAATCTCAATTAGTTATGGTCTATTTGTGCACTGACTAAAAACATTCGTTAACAAAACAGAATTTTCTAGTTTACTGGATAAATATACCAGAAGAAATTGCAGAATAATGTTGGGTTGCCAAGCAACCACAGCTCTACTCGCTCTTGTTTGTGATCAATCCAACTCATTCATCAAGCATCCTCACCCAGTGCTAGAGAATTCCAATTTGTTTCTTGGGAAAATTATAGTGACTTTTGGTAACACAATAACACTTTTATTCTCAGAAGATAAACTTAGATGTTCTTTTGATCAAAGGGAGGTGTTAATTCATTATCCTCCACATGGTGCTAATGAGAAAGCTATAATTAACTAACTACACTATTGCAGCACACATATAATAAACTCCAGTAATTAGTAATGTTTAAGGTGTTAACCAGCTCCAAAATTAGAAAATACAGCCTCTTTCCTCCAATAAAGATACACAGAAAGAAGAAAGCACCATTTCTAATTAAATTGAGAATTGTTTCCAGTTTTTCCCAAGGGGAGGAGGAGGAGACACGTGATCTTTAAAATGTGAGAGACTTCACTTTAATAGAAGAGAAAATGGCTCAATGCCAAGTCTACTTGTAGGTAGGCATAGAGTGCTGGTGAATAACATAATCTTTCCTTTCAAAGAGTGCTTAGTTCAATATTTTTCCAGGAATGAATAGAATGGATATTATGCTTTCACTCATTAGCGGTGTTAACTTAGCATATTGTATGTAAATCACCATAATAATTGCATTCTCTTCAGACTGAATTAGTTGGATGAAGCTGTAATCAAAATGTTCATAATTGAAAATATAGTATTCTCATAGCTGGTTTGGTAAAAACAGCATCGAACACTGATTGAATCAGATAATGTAGTTCATCACTGAAAAGAGCCTTGGTAAGAGACAAGTTCATACTCTTGATTACACCTTTGCATGTTAATTAGCTCCCCAAATTCAGGGTTCAACACCTCCCAATCTGTCATGTTTTCTACTGCTGTCTTTTGTCTCCTCTAACAAGCTTTCCAAGTGTATTGATGCTTATAATTATTTTTTCCAAAAAGGAAAATACAAAATGGTAAAATGTGCAATTTGTGTTTCTAAAATAGATGACATTCTATCATAGCATTGTCTTTCATCAATCAAAGGGCAAAATAATTTCCAATAAATAGAACATTTAGTGCCAGGGCTCCTGGGAAACAATATGTAAATGATCACACGAATTTCAGACAAGCTGTCAGACTTCCTCAAGATACATTTTAAAAAGTGACATCCGACTGTGAAGGTTAGCTCTGCAGTGTTCACCACGAAGCAACACCCCACTACCTGAACTCACAGTATTTTCTGACCTTCCTTCTAGTCAGATGACATCCATTCCCCTCCATTATTTAATTTCACTTTATCAGTTTAAACAACTAAGGATGAATAGCAGTCTTGATCATTTACCTTATTTAATTCTTTAGAAAAGTAAATCAGGCCAAATCATTGGAACAAAGCAATTTTAGATCTAACAATCTCCTGTCTTCAAAAATTTTAGATTGAACTTATAAAGGTAAGCTTTCATACAGCTAATATTTTTCTCAGTGATGTTTATTTCCAAAGTCATAAAAGATATTTGAGATGGTGGTATCTGCCTGGCTTAACTGTTTCAAGTCTACCAAAGAATATTTTAATTAGCAGATGGTTTTTATTATTTAAAGCCAGTTGTCAATGGGGTATAATAACATAAAGCAAATAAGCACATTCCCTGTGATATGAACTCTTACTGGACGTGGCAGTCAGTTCATATGTGTACAGTTTGTACAACACAATGAAGATGTAAAACCTGTATAACCATGAGGAATGGGGTCCCATAAGTGTAGAAACAAGAGCAACTTGCAAAATATATGTTACTTTTCATAACCGTGTGCTTCTATAGAGAGGTGGTTACACACATTCCTGAAAACCTTTGAGTGAGCCACCATACCTAATACTAACCCTACCTAGTAAGGCTCTCTCCATGTATTAGATGACAATATTCAGGAGCTTCCAAGGAATGACAGCATCCCACACTCTACCATTAGTAGAGGTAAATCTAGTAGCACTCAAGCCCATAAGAGGGAAAGTCTAGGTATAGACTAGATTCTATAGCCAAGTTAGACTATGAAATCCATAGGTTGGTTCATCATAAAGAGACTGAAATTAAAACAATCTCAAGGATCCCATCAGCAGATGAGAGATGAAGCACAGAATTTTACAAACAGGGAATAAACTTTGTTTTTTCTTCTCAACCAATGTTTCCCTAGATAGCTCTCTAATCTTCTCTGTCCAGCAGTGTAGGGAAAAGCCCACTGGTCCAGCACCTGGGCATTTTATTTCTTTCAATGTACTGCAAACCAGAGCTAAGAGGTAAAATGAATAGGTGGCAATAAGATTAATAAAGATAATTCTCTCAAATTAGAAAACATAGAAGTCTGCCCTCAGTAAAAGTGCAGAGAAAAGAGAATCTACCACATCTAATTAATTTAAGGATTAATGTTAACAGTAATCCTATCAACAACAGCTAACTGGTGAATGCTTATTATGAATCAAATAAGATGCACAAACTGTCCACTTGGATAAACTCATTCCAATCTTCCAACTCAAAATGGAATACAGTGATTCCTAACATTTAGAGAAGGGCACAGAAGCACCAAGTAAATGACCCTTCCAAGTCACAGATGCCAGAGACAGAGAAGATAGAAGTCTAACCCAGGTGGGCGCCTGCCCACAGACTACCTTTTCTGACCAGGCAATTCAAGAGTTGCTCACCTCGGCGAGCACGCGCACCACCACCTCCCCCCCCCCCCCCCCACGGCCCACCTACACACACACACACACACACACACACACGCACACACACACACACACCCTAGCGGGAGCGCGCCATCTCGCACGCTTGCCCCTGGCAGCCACTAGCTGGCTCTAGGCAGCTCTGGCGGGCGGGGCAGATCCTGTTCTCCCGGGGCTAAGTCAGAGGATCTGTCCCACCCCAGCAGCAGCACACCTGCCCTGGGCTGCTAGCCTTCCCTCCCACCTCCTCCAGCTGTCCAGTTAACCACCGACCACCCACTCTGATCCCTCTCTGTGCACCGCCCCCCCAAGACTTGTGTACCTGGGCTACGATGCCTTGCTTCTCCACCCCAGTAAAGCGGGGATTCCTCAAACCTGCCCCCGACTGAGAAAGTGGGGGCTCTCTCGGGAATGGAAAAACCAACCTTGCTGAGACTCTGGGCTCCAATCCCAGCTCTCCAAATTAATCACTTTCTCCCTGCTCCCTCCCTACGCAGACTCAAGGGAGGGGGGAAAAATAGAGAAAGAGGCACAAAGAGGAAAAAAGGACCATTCGTGACTGGCATCTCTAGCTCTTGGGGCTCGGATACCAGGGAGCCATGGCAACCAGGGCCCAGCCTGCCCTCTGGCCCCCTTGGTTGGTCTTCAGTGTTCAGATGAGGTTGAGAACTGTGCCTTTCGGATTTTTATTCTCCCCTCAACCCAGCAGTCCACAGATCGCCCATTCCAGGCCATAGGCATTAGAGAACCCTCCTAGGATCAATAATTCTCTCCAGAGTCTAGGAGCTAGATCCGGGCTTGGGGTGTGTGAGATCTGTGCCCCAAGACCTAAGAGATGGGCAGTGGAGAGCGGAGCCAAATTCGATCCCCTGTGCCTTTCGGATTTTTATTCTCCCCTCAACCCAGCAGTCCACAGATCGCCCATTCCAGGCCATAGGCATTAGAGAACCCTCCTAGGATCAATAATTCTCTCCAGAGTCTAGGAGCTAGATCCGGGCTTGGGGTGTGTGAGATCTGTGCCCCAAGACCTAAGAGATGGGCAGTGGAGAGCGGAGCCAAATTCGATCCCAAATCTTACAGGACCTCCCTTCCACCCGCCGCCTCCCCCCCCTACCCCCGCCTCCGCAGGGCTGCAACCTACATCTCTCGAGGGTAACGAGGGGGGCGGTGGCTAGGTTTGAGGAAAGATGGGTCAACCTACCGGGTAGGAATTTAGGAGTGCCAGGGTCCTTGAATTCTGTTTACTCCATCTGACTGACCTGAAGCTGTCAAAATCCAGCCACTGCCACCTGAGGCGGTGCTACACCAGGAGGTACCTCTCTCAGGTTAGGGAAGGTCCTGGAGCCACTCCCATTTGGGGAAGGTTGGAGCCCTGGACTGCGCGCCATTGCTTTTTCTCAGGTGCAAACCTTAATTCTCCCTCCATCTCCCTCAAACTGTTGGCTGATGGGCGGTTTGGGAGATCCCCATCCCGAGCAAGGCTGGCACAGATAGACTCACCTGAGCCGCTTCCAACGTCAGATCGGTCCGGTACCTCCTCTCGGGAAAACTTCTCCCCAAGCTAGCTCAGAGGGCAAAGGGGGACAAATACCATACAGCTGTTCTGGACAGATCCAGGGGAGTTTCTTGGACGCTCCCCGCTGATCCGTACTGGAGTCTGCTCACAGATATCCCGTCTGTCCCCTCCTGCTCTTAGCACAGATCTCCAGAAGGCTGGACCGGTTCTAGCTTGCACCGGTATCCACGCCCTCAAGCAGGTATAAAGTAGGGTACAGGGTCGGAGGCACATGGAGGGCTCACTCTGTGTGAGCAGTGAACCCTGGGAGAGAGAGAGAGAGAGAGAGAGAGAGAGAGAGAGAGAGAGAGAGAGCTTTAGACTTTGATTTTATGAAAAGCAAGGGACAAAGAGAAAACTTTGCTTGTCGTTTTCATCTCGAAGCCCAAGAGGCAGGACCCCTGCCGGTTTATCCGCAAAAGAAAGAGAAACCCCTCCCCTCCATTCCCTCTCCAACGGTTTCGGTTCTTATTTCACACTCGGTCTTTCGGGCTGTTTTCTCTCCCATAGCTGCGCAGTGGAGAGAGGGGTGTGGTACCTTGTGCCTATTAAAAAGAAATCATCTTCATGGTTTTCTTTCTTCATTTAGAGGCGTGATGGGACTCGCGATTTAATTTAAGAAAGCCACTTCCATCAGTTGTCAGACCAGTGCAGGCATCAATTTAGAGATCTTCCTCTGCTACCTAATGCTGTAAATTTTTGTCCTACTATGATCCATATTATCCCAGATTGGTTGATGACATTTTTCCTATTTACTCTTTATTAATTCACTACTATAGAATAAAGCTTTCTGTGCTTATTTTCACTGCAAAAAGCCATCCCTGGTGCTTTTTGCTATTCTATCAATAAATAGAAATGTTTTATTTCGGGACTAGAGTATGGGAAAGTCACAGACTTGTGCATTCTATAATGGATGAACATCCTCTTTGATTTTTGCTCTCCCATCATGATGCTGTTTTCCAAAATGTCCACACAATGCTGTTTTTAAACAAAATTCTGTTGCATGGAAGCTCCCTTTGATGCTAACAGAATTATTGACTTCTAAGTTTTGCTCTACTGAGGCTATGCAATTGACCTTACTGTCTGGTTTTGTTCTCTTGTACTGCTTTATACAATGGGGACATTTAGAGCTCTGAGTGACCCTCAGAGTTGGATGTCATTACAGGGAGCAACAACAGGGAAAGGAGTTCAGGACTGCCTCAGAAACATTTGGATCAAATATTTTAAAATGAAAAAATGGACTTTTCCGTGTTTATAAATGCAAACCTTGATGCCTTTTTGCTGTCAGTTCGTGGATAGGCACAGTTTCTCCTGACTGTGCTGGCAAATTACAAATGCAAGTGAGGGCAGGATGTGTCCTAGGTTTAAATTGTACTATTGGAATCGTTCCTCTGCCCCAGGCATCATTTTTCATGTGCCAGGTTTTCTAAAGTAGAAACAAAGAATGTTGAATAAAATTCCAACAAGGAAAATATTGTGTATGTAGGAAAGCATTTCCAAAGACAAGGAGCCGCAAGAGACACACGCAGCCAACTCGGTCTGAGAAATTTACCACCTTCTGGGGCAGCCTCCACTGGCAAAAAACAGAGAGCTCTATTTTGGCTAGAAAAACAATGAACTTTAAACACACAGTCTTTTCCTTTCCTGTGATTTGTTTGTTTGAAACATTATAATCATTAGTTAGACAGACATAGGAAACAGATAATGATGATTATAGGTGATAGATAGATGAGAGATAGATGATAGGCAGATAGATAATGATAGATGATAGATAGACAGACAGATGATAGATAGATGATAGATAGATAATGATAGATGATAGATTAATAGATAAATGATAGATGATAGATATATGATAGATGAAAGATAGATGATAGATGATAGATAGATAGATAGATAGATAGATAGATAGATAGATAGATGATAGATAGATAATAGATAATAGATACACAGACAGATATGAAGAAAGGGGAGGAAAGAATGACCAAGATACAGAACTATTTTTCAATCACTACTTTTTCTGTGTTAGTAAACACTGAGAAACTCAATAACCAAGACCACATCCTTCATTTTGAATCAAATAATCAAATACACATTAGGTAATACAAAGCACAATGCCCCAAACAACAAGATGAAGTATCAGTCTTTCATGGACTTTTCTTAATATGCATAATTTTGAGCCTCTGATACTGCATATAGATATGGAAATGTTAATAGCTGCCTGTGACTGACTAGGAACAGTAATTAAGTAAGCATATAGCAACTTACTTTACCCTAGGCAAATAAACTTTCAGAAAGGAAAGAGGAAGAAAAAATGCAGAGAGGAACAAGGGTAAGACTATGACCAGGAGAGAGGGATGGCAAAGGATGAACCAGGAAAGAAGAAGAGTATTTTTTCAGTGGAAACAGGCGTCTTTAAATATCTCCATCCAAGGAACACCTGATAGCTGTAACTTCTGTGGATGGGTTCATATTTTTATACTGTACCAAATACAGGCAACACAGCTAGGCCTGCCTGGCCAAAGAGACTCACAGCTCTACCGCCTCAGCTTCCAACAAGGCTGGAACCAGAAGGCAGTCTTCAGCCAGAGAGAAAGGCTGCAAAAGACACCTTCTGCTGCTGTTTTGGACCTCTCTCCTGGCTCCCTTTCCACTGTCTGACACTTTCTCACTCAGCACACACTCCTGTTCTAGCATGGGGTAGCAACATTATCTTCTCACCGGTCACGTGGAAATCTGATCACATCAGCTTCAAAAGGTGTGAATTTTCTCTCTCATGATGGATGAAGACTCTTTCTATTGAAACCACTGCTACCAAACAATGAAGGAAGGGGGAAAATGAATTTTCTCATACATAGAAGCAGAGGGTGAGAGAGATAGGCCAGTGGACTGGAAAAACATAAAAGGTATCAAAAGCTGGGGTCTGTTTTCTGCTTTTCCTGCTGATTTACTGCCTACCCTCTGCCTGAACCATCATTTGGTATCATTCCCAGAGTTAGGGCCATTGCAAGAGCATTGCCTTTTGGCAAAACCAAGTCACTAGTGGTAATGGCATCATTCCTAGAAAAACTGTTTAGCAGAAGAGCTGTAGTGTTGGAAATGACATTTTAGTCTAGCAGTTCCGAACAGTCACAGATCAACAGGGATTTTTTTTTTTCTGGCCAACTGTTATAGTAAAGGAAAACAGGATGTTCCAATGAAGAATAAATCCTTCAAAAGCAACCTTGGAAGGACAAAGCATCCTCCTCCAGCTTAGAAACAAACAAGGCTAAAGGAGACTACTTTAACTCTGCATAGTTACTAAGAGGCAACATTTGTTTCATCCATTGGTACATGAACTAAATAACAGGCATTAAAATCAAAAGACAATAATTCTGGAACAAATAAGAAGGAAAGTACTATATTTCATGCCATGGATCATTAATATAGATGATTTGGCCTTAGGAGGTCAGATAATCAGATATGTTGAATAGATTTTAAAAGGGCTATGCACTTTTATAGCCATTAATAACATTATCCCATGTTATTAAGTCAGTGATAGTTGCTATCAGATCTCAAGCTTTTGGCATCTGCTGACTGCTTCTACATATCAAAAACATATCTGACCCCCCAAACAGAAATTCTGCCTAGGCTACTGTCCTCTTGGTAGTTTGCTCCAAAGTCCTATGCTATCACATTTGAGCTCAAAGCCCTGTGAATTGTATTACAGGGTAAATTCTTAGTTGTTGAGAAGAAGTTCTGCAGAAAATTGACCTACAATACTTTATTTCTAACATCATTCAAAATAGTTTCATTCTGGTAAAATATTCACCCATAGCTTTGTTTTACATTTGTGGGGAGTAAGGTTTCAAACTTGTACAACTGGTTAGTGGCCTATATTATATTCATAAAATCTTCTAATTTCTAATCCCATACAATTTTAGCATATAGCAAAGTATTATCTGCTTTTAAGATAATCTTATGAATCCCAGTTCTGCAACAGCAAACAGGATAAACATTAAACACAGAAAGAAAGTGATGTCAGCAGTTTAAGGACTAATCTTGCCAGAGAATAAATGAAAAGTCTTCATCATTTTCTTTGTTCTCTTTATACAGTTGATTTTGAAAATATATTTTCTAATCAATTAATAAAGGAAATGCCTTGGAGAAAAATAAGAAGCCAATTAGGTCTGATTAAAAAAAAAGTTTATGGCATCCAATGGATGACCCCAAAACTACATTGTTATTTTATTTTTGGTCACATGGCCGCCCACCTAAGAACTGTATTTCCCAATGTCTCTTGGGACCAAGTTTGGTCCTATGACTAGATTCTCATGAAAGAGACATTAGGAGAAATGATATAGGTAACTTCTAGATCATTCACTTACAAGTAGTCTAGATTCGATCTTTCTGTTCTAGTTAGTCTATAGTGATAAAAGCTTATGCTGAAGATGACTGTATTAGCTACTTTTCTGTCACTATGATAAAACATCATGAACAAGAGAACTTATAAAAGGAAGAGTTTATTTGACCTTACAATTCCAGGTTCCAGAAGTATTAGAGTCCATCAAGGGAGGAAGGAATGGTGAGGTGGCCATACCAGGAGCAGAAAGCTTAATATGTCTTCAAGCAGGCACAGGAAGCAAAGAGTGACAGGAAATCCTGCAAAGCTTAAGAACTCCCAAAGCCAACCCCCAATGATAGAGTTCCTCCATCAAGACCACACCTCTTAAGACCTCCCCAAACAGTGCCACCAACTGGGGACAAAATGTACAAATACATGGAGCCTGTGGGTGTCGTTTTCATTCAAGCCACCACAATGACAAAAGAACTATCATTGGCTTTGATCCCCGCATGACTGTGGATCAGAACATACCAGCTAACCTTAAAATGTGAACATCTCACTTCTTTTGGCCAGTCTTTCACAGTCCCTTCTAACAGTTTAAGCTTTCCTTAAGCAATGGAACTATAATTTGTATCATCAGAACAATTTTAAAGAGAAACAAGACAAAGCTAATGTGAGCGTTTGTTGGCCTGACTTGCCTAGCATACGTTTACATTCATTAAACTCAACCAAGCATCAGGAATAATATCTCCCAAGTTTATGTGGCTTAACTGAAGATGGTCCAATGCTCTTTCTACTCATCATCCAGGTGCATGGGTACGGGCTTGATTCTCAATATTTCCCATCTCTTTGTGTATTTGA